GTTAACGTTCCAATTTAACATTGTTTTTACTCAGCTTCCCCTTATTGAAAAAACAGAAGCAACTGAAGACTCTTTCCAGGCCTGATTCCCTAGGCAGGAGCCATATATGGGACAAACTTTGTATTCCAGGGTAGACTCTTTCCCAGCCTTTATGACAGCATTATGACAAAAGAAGCAGTGAAGGAATTAACTCTTGAGATGCAAACTTGAATGCAATTCTGTGATAAAACACTGTGATCCCCTATTCTTCCTCCTTCTTAATTTATGCCTAAATGATTTCATGTAGTTTTAGGGGTCAGGAATAGAGAGGAGAGGATACCATCTAGCTAGTTATATACAAGTTTCCTACTACCCCCTCTCTAATTTGTGGCAATACTTGAGGTAAATATTAGTGTCTTCTTTTTAAATATGAGAAAACTAAATCTCAGAGCATTTAGACAACTTCCCCAAAAATGACACTTTAGTGAGAGGCTGAGGTAAATTTGACTTCCAGCCTAAGAGGACAGTATGTACTCTCCATTCTCAAACCTTTCTTTCCTTCCTAGTGGCAGTGAAGAAAAAATACAGGTACCTATGGGATGCCGACGATAATGCACCAAAGAGACTCCCTTTCTTAAGGCTTGTGTTTTAAATTCATGTATAGTTTGCATTTTCACAATATATCTGTATGAGATTGAAGTGTAAAAGAAATAATTATTTCCTCAAAATTTCAACTAAAATGACACTCCAGGAAGATGAACCTTGCTTACTCCTTGGTTTTAATGCCTCTAGCAGATGAGGGGTGTATGTCACTGAAGGATGAACTCTGCCTCTAGGACTGCTGATGTAGACTTGCTACCCTAAATTATTCCATCTCAGTAGGTCAACATAAAATCCTCACTTTGGTAGACATGCTCAGCATCCAATTCAATAGGCCAATGCATCTAGTTATCTTTGGATGTGTTTTGTCTACTATCACACTCAGATGTTGTCTATTAAATTACTGCTTGACTCAAAAGTTCAAAGGAAGAAATTGTTCTTAGAGACTAAAATTAAGAAAACAGTTGATTTTATTAGATAATGAGAGGTATATACTACAACGCTTCCACCCACCCATCAGTTCTAGACTTCCTGAAATCAAAGGTGGAAAGTAAAGTGGAAAAGATTTAGTTTATGGAATGCTGGTAAGATATTATACCAAACAGGGAAAGCAAATGTTTCTTTTTGCTTGTGAGTTATCAAGTCTCAGTTTGTAAGTAGAACATTATTTTTAAATGAAGGGTGCTTCTTTTTTTGTTGTTTTTTTTTTGCAATGAACACGAGGATGCAGATATTTTTTTGAGTGTTTTCATTTCCTTCAGAATAATATCCAGAAGCAGAATTGCTGGATCATTTGATAGTTCTATTTTTGATTTTTTGAGGAAACTCCATACTGTTTTCCCCCGGGGCTACAATAATTTACATTCCCACCAACAGTGTGCTAGGGTTCCCTTTTCTCCACATCTTTGCCAACACTTATTTCCTGTCTTTTTTATAATAGCCATTCTAACAGGTATGAGGGAATATTTCACTGTGGTTTTGATTTACATTTCCCTGATGATTAATGATGCTGAGCACATTTTCATGTACTTGTTGGCCATCTGTATGTTTCCTTGAAAAAATATTCACTGAATTCTACTCCAGAAACCAATATTGCAATGTATGTTAAAACTAAGTAAAACTTAAATAAAAAAATAAAAATAAATTTAAAAATTTTTTAAAAATGAAAAAATATTCAGACCCTCCATTTAAAAATCATATATATATTTTTTAATACTGAGTTGTAGAAGTTGAAGGACATATATTTTTATAAAATATGTTTAAACAGTGCTTGGTCTTTTATATAACATTCACTGCTTGGGCTCCATCTCCTGGCATTTGTGTGCCCCCCACCCCCAAACCCTAACTTGAGCATTTTGGCTCAACTTTGGCTCTAGTTCTATCACTGCAATTGGTTTATTTTATAAGTTTTCTCCAGGCTTTATAGCCATTTGAAATGGGAGGATAAGTCCAATGCCAGCTACTCATCATGGCTGAAACCATAAATTTATTTATATGATCTTGGACCAACACAAGTAAAAACCTGAGTTATTTTTAAATTACCATTTATGGTTAGACTTTTGACAGAGAAAAACCTCTGGTAACTTTACAAGCATTTCATAAATTTTTCTAAGGACTTACCAATTTAACTAAAATCTTATTAGAGAACAATCAAATGACTTCAGTCATCACAGTGAATGATTATTATAAAATAAAGACTATACCTTAGACCAAAATAAACCTAATTGATAATTATTCCTAAAGTCTTCCATGTAATTGAGTTTAAAAATTCAGACTCCATTGTCCTATATAAAAAATGTTGAGCTTGGCAAGTTTATTTTACCAAAGTTAACTTAGATTTAATAGACCACTTTTAGGATATAATAATTTGAGCCGCTAATGTCCAATGCGCCAACTGGAAGTTAAAACTTTTTACAAAACTTTTCTCATCACTACCCTCCAACTAGATTCAATTTGTGGGAGAGAATCTTCCCACTGCCTAATCATATACCTTCCTATTCACCCAATAACAGAGGAATTATCCCCTTCACACAGGCAATTTAGAGAGAAATCCTCCCTTCTATATCTTGCTTCCTTCCCAAAACAATCTTAGGCAACTTGAAATAAAGAACAAATACAGGATAATCATTTAGATATGAATCAAAGAATAACTACTTTTAAGAAACATCACCAGTAGAATATATTTGTAAAGAAATGCAAACATCCTTTTAGCAAATGACACTGGCTTGTACTGTTGAAGCGTTTAGATGAGGAAATGACTCAGAAATATGGTAACACTTAGCACTTCCATTATACTGATATTGACTTGGACTTAGATGTTTCAAGAGCCACAAGCTTCAGCTCCTATATATTCCTTAATTTTAAATCTTCCCCAGTTGTGTGTGTGCTTGTGATCTGAAAGAATCTATTACTTTCCTGTCTCATTCAAGAAGTTTTTTGTGTGTCTATTCCAATGTAAATATCGTATCTGTATGGGTGGATAGAAGGTCATATGGAGTGGGGCAAAAGATCATAGCTATTACAATATATTTCCCTTGTGTTGCCCCAGCCTTGGAGTAGCTAAACTGGGGTTGGAAATACTATGTGGTCACATGCTACCTTAGCATGTCCAGTGCATAGCCAATACCTATAATCAGAATTCTATGATCTCATTGATAACAAAGATAGAAAACCAATTTTCCGTTTCAACCTGAATCCCAAATTGTCATTTTGAGTGTCACATTAAAATAGCTTTTAGACTATATACAAAATCTATTCAAAACAATAGTCTTTTATCTTGTTTTTACAGTATTTTTTGGCATTTCTCCCACAGCATATATCTAAGAGGGAGCCCCAGCTAGGACCCTGTAAGTAGAGTGAGTGTTGAGTTCCTACAAGAGGGGAAATTTCTAAGACATTCACCATTCATGGAAGTGAGTTCTCTTTCTGTGTTGGCCAGCAAGAGTTCTGGTTCTCAATGCTTGCTACAGGGAGAACAATCATAATAGGACACCTGGGTTGAACGCTTTGGATAGTAAACACTAATCAAGTATGTGAACCACTAATTAGTGTGTGGCCTTGGGTCACTCACTCAAAGATAAAGGCTTGGTTTTCTTCATGCAAATGAAGTCTCTGAGGTCCCTTCCACCTGTAACTTTTCACATTCAAAACCTTAATGTGTATATTCAATATACATATTCTGAGGTGAATTCATTTTTTTAGATATTATGTGAAGGACTAAGAATGGCTTTTTTTTTTTAGCATAAATATCTAAAGTTATTTCATTTCATACTTGGCTAAATCAGTCCCATAGCCAATGCACATGTGTGCATGCATCTACACACACTCACACAAATATGTATATGTACACCATAATATATAACATCTGTATAAGTAATAATGGCATCTAGATTATAACATACTAATATTAAGGAGTCCCAATGTATAAGCAGTTTAATTAAAAATCTGACTAAGAAGAAAATCAATATACAATAGCACAATTAGCATTCTTCAAATTAGGTACCTATCCTTTTAAAGGAAAGCTAAAATTATTGGGGGGGTTTGACGATTCACAAAGAAATAACCAATTAAAAATAAAAGCTGGATGTATGTTTATTTTATTAAAATTTGATGAGATATATATACTTAGGATTTACGTACTTTCCTATTTATCTGTTTAAATATAAAGTTTAAACATTTTTTAAATGCTGGAACTCAGGCTGCATCTCAATTACATAGATCAATAAGATTTCTGTTCATAGGCCATCAAAATATCAACTGCATCACAAAATCGTATTATATAAAGAATCTGTGACACTCATCTGGATAGATGTGAGAAGGCTATAGATAATGCAATAGAGCAATGAAATCATTCATTTGCTACTGGTAATTATATTTCACATGCAAAATTATGCTGAGAAGCTTAGGTTGTCTCTTTGGAAACATGAACATAAAAAAGTTGCAAAGATTTCCACAAAAAAAAATCCTCATCATACACCCTATTGTAGTCACTGCCATACTTTAGCTTAATTAAAATGGCTGCATTTTGGTGTTAACTCGAACAAGAAAAGATTTAAAGTTTAAGACACTTTGGGCTGGGCCTTTGGCAAGTTAAAGAACATCTCTGTTCAGAGTCTCTCTCTCTCTTTTAAAGGAGGCTTTGAGAAGGGTAAAGACCCCATAAGTAATGTTTCAAGCACTGCTTGAAAACCCTAGAGGGCATTCCGCCAGAAGTAAAAACTCCCATTATTATCTGTAGGGAACACGGATGGACAGAGGAAAAATCATGTCCACATACTTTTGAGCCAAGTAATGGTGGGGGGGAGAATATACAAATCGGAAATTACTGTAAGAACACACTACTTAAAATTGCAGATGTATTGTAGGATGAATTCAATGCGGGTCCAACATACCCATTTCTCAGGTTCCTTTGGCCAGCGAGGTCCAGACTAGTTTGGGGACTTGAGGTCATCTCTGCAGCCATCAGCAGAGGCGCTATTGCCCCAGCCAATGAAGGAAATCTTCCTCTTCATCCTCTCTGCGTCTAAGTTAGAGAAGCAGTTGCTTTGGATTGTCCTGTGAATGGCAGGAGACTGCCTGAGGTTAATTAGGCAATAAAACATGACTGAGCAGGCGGCAGTAATTAATCACATCTCAAACTTGTTCTGGGAAACAAGAGGTGAGACCGACTGGCTTGAAGTCCTGAAAGTGAGTAAATACCTCCCAGACTTGAGGTCTGAAGTGTCTCCTCATGCTGGTGAAAGGTCCAGAGAGATGCCTTTTGGTGGCCCTCTCATTTTTCTGTATGTGCATGCAGAAGTATAACATGCATGCGAGAGCTTCTTGTAAGCAGAATGAGTTTACTGATGATGTCACAATGTAACAACTTTTATTATGCTTTCCCTGAACAGTGAAGGGCAGGTATCCATTATTATGCATAACATCCAGATAAGAAAACTGAGGCTAAGTGAAATTAAGTTACTCAACCAAGTATCAGGAGCCACAAAAAAAAAAAGAAAAGAAAAGAAACGAATTGTAGAGACGATGAATTTGCATTGAGTAGAACTTCACATAGGTAGCAAGATGGTCCTTCAAGTTAGAGATTAGAGGACTATCAATGCAGAGCCAAAGAACTGAAAGTTTATTTTGAAAGTAATGGGAATTTCTGAATGCAACTTGATAAGGCAAGTGACATGGCAGCATTTAATGGGGATTCGTCTTATAGCAAAGAACAAGATTGGCAGAGAGAAACTACTAGCTATATAAAACAACAACAACAACAACAACAAACTGGCAGGTAATACTGTCTGAGAAGTTACTATATTTCAAAACCTCCACTATGCACCTTACTATGGACCTCCATGTAACTTCATCTAATTACTTAGTTATAGTTATAAAAGTCCATGCCTGTTTTGTTTACCATTGAACCCTAGCACACGATAAAAGGTTTGGCTGGTATTAGTGCACAGTAAACATACCTACACTGAGTAGATTACTAGGAAAGTAAGATGAATTCACAGAACAGATAGAGTTGACCCTTTAACAACATGGGTTTGAACTGTACTGGTCCACCTACCTACAGATTTTTTTCAATAAACACAGTATAGTGTTATAAATGTCTCTTCTCTTATGATTTTCTTAGTAACACTTTCTTTTCTCTTGCTTACTTTAAGAATACAGTATATAATACATATAATTTACAAAATATGTGTTAATTAACTATTATCAGTAAGGCTTCCAGCTGAACAATAGGCTATGAGTAGTTAAGTTATACACAAATTTTCTATTGTGCAGGGATCAGTGCCCCTGACCCCTGAATTGTTCAAGGATCAACTGTATTTCTTCTGCTTTGAGGCTCAAGTTAAAACAGGTAAGCAAATATATCTTTCTTTATCTCTAACGTTAAAAAAAGACAAAAAGAAAAATACACCATAAATGTGCATAAAATGGAATATACCAATGATTAGGACACCAGGAGGGGAAGCACAATTAGAGGAAGACAAGGAAGGGATACATGTAATCAGAATTCCTGCTGAGTCTCAGATCTGGCTAAAATATTAAAGAGATAAAGTCCTAACCTTAATTGCACTAAACTGGAATAGCCTTGGTTCTGAAATTTTAGAATATATCTGCTCATCAAAGCTCTAAGAACTTTTATTCTGATGTTTTGCCCCATCACCTGCTTGTAACTCCATCACCCACAAACTAATCTTAAAAGATGGACATATGGCAGTCTCTGAGCTGTAACTCATGGGCAAGAGCACCATCTAAAAATTATCACTTTCACAGTCTCATTTTCTTTGTTAACAAGCCAAGGATGAGGCTCCTGGATTAGAACAGTTCTAGGTGTGGGACTGTTCTGCAATACGAAGAGGTAGCGTTGTCAAACGCTTTGCACTCACTGAGACTAAGAAGTCTGCATTTCAAAGAGTCCACAGAGCACTAGCAGTGAGAAACAAAAATAGTTTTGTTGGAAAAGGAGTTCAGTCCCAGCAGCACAGCTCTGAGCCTAGAGAGGACAAACAAAGCTGCTGCTAACAATAAAAGCAAGTTCAGTGTTTCTCTCATTATGGTTTCTCTTGTCTGAGACCCTTAAAACCTCTTCTGTTGTGTCCAGGCCTGAAAGCTTCTAGTGATCTGACTGAGCCTCTCTAATTGGGTGCTTGCAGTTCATCTTACTTCTCATTAAAAAAATAAGCTCATCAGCACTATAGCCTCAGGGGTCCACAAGGAACATGTTTATAGAAAAGAAGTTTTCGTGTTTATTAGCATTACACACAGCCCATTACACAAAGCCTCAGAAATTTACACTGGCCTCAGCAAGCTGTGGTTCCAAATGTGAACACTTGTCACAACGCATAAATTATTGCCAGTGACGCGCCCACAGGGCCCTGAGAAGGCCGCCCTTTCACTCAGCCCAGGTTATTTCAATCAGGGTACCTTTAGGGGGACATCCTTCCCAAAAGTTACAAGCATTCATTTGGGTCGACTCGACGCTGCAGGAAATACATTCCGTTCAAACGAAAAAATTGTGAAGCACCTACTCTGTGTCCCACAGGATGGAGGACGTGGGTTCGCCGGCGCGCGTGCGTGGGTTCGCCGGCGCGCGTGCGTGGGTTCGCCGGCGCGCGTGCGTGGGTTCGCCGGCGCGCGTGCGTGGGTTCGCCGGCGCGCGTGCGTGGGTTCGCCGGCGCGCGTGCGTGGGTTCGCCGGCGCGCGTGCGTGGGTTCGCCGGCGCGCGTGCGTGGGTTCGCCGGCGCGCGTGCGTGGGTTCGCCGGCGCGCGTGCGTGGGTTCGCCGGCGCGCGTGCGTGGGTTCGCCGGCGCGCGTGCGTGGGTTCGCCGGCGCGCGTGCGTGGGTTCGCCGGCGCGCGTGGCTATTCTCGTAATAGCCACAATCGTTTATGAGGTCAATTTCTTGTCAATAGATTAATCTCTGTGTACCTCAATGACTTCATGAATTGCCCCAGTCATACAAGTAAGGGGTGGAGTCAAAATTTTTAAAAATGCCACACCAGGTCTTTCTAATCTCAGAGCCTCCCTTTCTTCTACCAAAGTGTATAGCCTCTTAACATAAATTACAGTTTTAACAAAAGCCCCTTTGAGAGTCTCATCCCAAACTAGGCAGGTGGAGTAGAGCGAAGAGGGGAGAGGACCAGCAGACCTGGGTTAGGGTTCAGTGTCTGCTGCTGTGTCATGCTGGGTTACCAGCTGGGCCAGTCTCTTCACTGGGGATTAGGTTGGCTGCCCTGCTGGAGGACAACTTTGAACACAAGTTATGCATCAAGCAACCGATATGTCAAGAACTAAGAAGAAATAATGTTCCACAAGGGTAAGCACAGCAGGAAGAAAACCAAATTAATTTCAATTGCTGCGGGAGGAGGGGGGTGCGGAGAGACGTTTCAGCCGTCGATACCAAATGCTGGCTGTTAAGAGATTGAGCACAAGAGCAAGTGACTTCAAGTTAAACCTGACCAGGTTGATTAATAGAAACCACCAAGTAATTGCCTGCTAATAACAGCTGCCTGAAAGGCACTGGAATGTTTGCAAGGAACTCTCAGTTCCACCCAACACAAGCATTTCACAGTACCTGAAAACAAGGAACAGAATTTGTAATTATATTAAATATATAATTACCATCTTTAATTACTTGGCTTAAACGTGGTTAATTTACATATGCTTCTTAGTCTTTCCTTCCTCCTCCTCACACAATAATAGGTACACAACAAATGTTGAAGCAAGGGAAGAATGAAATGCGAGTAAGCAAAGACAGTGCAACAGGTTCACTCTATTCTGCTTCCTAAGGCAAACGAAGCACATTTCACTAAGACAAGAGAGAAACATTTTTACCAGTCAAGTGTAAAATGAGACCTAAATCAGTGTCTGATTAACGTAACATTCACCAAAAATTTGGTAGAGTAGAAACCTATTCTGCAAATATTTCTCACTAAATTGAGTTTGAAGTTTCACACTGTGTCCATGTGAATCAAATGAAATAATTTTTGAGTTAGTCATTACCATAAATCATCAAATTATAATTAAAATGATTGGTAGAGTTACTTATGTCATAAGTCAAAATCAACTCTTATTCAATATGCTGGTTGTATGTTAGGAGATCACCTACAAATATCTGACCTGAGTCTCATTCTGAGGCAATAAGATCCTGGAGACAGTTAGTGCAGAACAAAGTGGCAAGTTCTGATTAGCATAAGTGTTATTTTAAGGAGTCTAAATCCACTTAAGTTTGTTCGAAATGTGGGTTTGCCTTAGGAAAGACTCAGAACATTTTGTGATTTTAAACCAAGTTGGCAAACTGGCCTAAGGGCCAGATGCTGTCCCCTTCACCTGTTTTTATAAATAAAGTTTTATTGGAACACAGTAACTTTATAAACTTTTGTTTATAAAGTATTTATGTCTGCTTTAAAGCTACAAGAACAGGGACACCTGGGTGGCTCAGTCGGTTAAGTGGCTGCCTTCAGCCCAGGTCATGATCCCAGGGTCCTGGGATTGAGTCCCACATCGGGCTCCTTGCTCAGCAGGGAACCTGCTTCTCCCTCTCTCTCCCTCTGCTTGTGCTCTCTCTGTCAAATAAATAAAATCTTTAAAAATAAATAAAATAGTTTAAAGCTACAAGAACAGAGTTGAGTAGTTTGAGAGACTTGAGAGACCAAAAAAAAGTTTGTCCACTCCTGCTCAAAACTATGACCGATTCTTCAGATCCTATCACATAAGCCCAATCAAATCAGCAATGTTTATTAAGATCCTATTAAGTGTATACTGGCATACTCACCTCTTACTGAGTAGTCCCAGTCAAAATATTTTCCAGGAGCATCGATTAACAGGGTAGAAATAATGTGGCTGGCTACTTGCAGAGTTCAGAGTTCCAGGGTCATAGCCAATGCCACAATCTTTTTCAAGTGGCAATATGGACTCAGGACCCCTCTCCCAAGGCTCTCTTCTCAGTGTTTTGGATGATATAGGAAATATGAGGCCCAGATCATCATGCTATGACACAGCTGACATTCTGCCTGGATAAAATATAGACCAATAAGAAACTAACACCCTCAAGATTTAAATTCTGCAATTAGGGCACCTGGGTGGCTCAGTTGGTTAAGCGACTGCCTTCGGCTCAGGTCATGATCCCGGAGTCCTGGGATCGAGTCCCACATCGGGTTCCCGGCTCGGCGGGGAGCCTGCTTCTCCCTCTGACCCTATCCCCTCTCATGCTGTTTCTCTCTCTCTCTCTCTCTCTCAAATAAATAAATAAATAAAATCTTAAAAAAAAAATAAATTCTGCAATTAGTCTTGACAACATATTTAGACTTTCAAGTCCCTTAGGCTTAAAAAGAAAAAAAAAAGCTATTACTTTTTCTGGCTTTGGCAGGGATTCTTTGTTTACAGTTATATGAAGGCATTCCTACTTAAATTCTTTAATACTGTAAATTATTAATAAAAATATTTTAAAATACATAAACAACTAATTGTATGTAACATCAAGAGACATGTTTGCATTAATCTATCAATAAAAGTTCCAGAACTGAAAGAGGAAGATGACAGAAAACCCAGGCACATTGAGATCAATAGAGTGATCACTGGACAAATTTTGTCCTAGAGCCCTGTACACATCAGTATAGAAAGCCTTAGAATGATTGCTTTCTGAATAATACCTTTAGTACTAGGAAATTGCTTACATCTAAGCAGGATATGACCAGTACTTCATTTGATGTTTGTCATTGTGCTATGACCACATTTCTCGATAATATTTTGATTGCACATTTATGAAAAGATAAGGCCTCTTGTTAGTTCTCTCAGAAAAAGGAAACAGACATTAAAACTTGGCAAGTTTTCTGGCAGTAAGTATTCTACAAGGGTTCATGACATTTCCATGAAGCTGTCTATAACACATCACCTATCAACCTCTTTGACACTATCTACACCAAAACATCCCAAAGGCAGTCAGAGGTGAAGGCTCTGGAGTCTAATTAACCTGAAAGTGTCAAGTTTTCAAATTCACTCCAGCCTGAAGATTCTAGGAAATTTCATATGTTCATTAATTCAACAAATATTTATCAAGTTTAAGGCAATGTTAAAGATACAAAAACGGGCAAGAACAGGTTCTTGCCTCCAAGCACCTCAAAATATATCTGTGTCATAAGAGAGTGCTAGTTTGAGCTGTAAGTGGGCTGGAAAATCCCTAGCAAAAATTATTCAGAGCTTTTCTGTAGTAAATCAAATCTAGCCTATCAGAAAATTATTTCCTAGGTAAAAAAGATTTTGCTAGAAGGAAAGAGATTATATGCTCTCTTGAAATGGTTGTAGTTTTTTTTTTTAACCTATCTTCCTGTTATACTCAAGTTTTAAAATTTCACACAACAAATTTCTTACTGATTTAAAGCAGTTCAGCCTATATAATGTAAGAATTTAACACTATTTTAAAAATAATATGGAGCTATTAATAGCCTTTGATAATCATGAAAGATCAAAGCTTTTAAAAATGGTAATGTGTGTCTATTGTGTTATTTAAAAGTAGAAAGGGAAAAGCAAAAAACAGCCCCTAAGTGCAACTGGATACTGGAACAGAAAAAGTTTACTAGTGGAATAACTAGGGAAATCTGAATAAAGACTGCAGTTCAATTAATTGTATTGTGTCAATGTTAATTTTTTAGTTTTGATAAATGTACCAAGATTAAATAAAATGTTAACATTAGGGGAAACTGGGTGATAGAGTATATGGGAACTCTCTATTTTTGCATCTCCTCTGTAAATCTAAAATTATTTTAAAACAAAACTACTAAAGAATAATGCATATCCCAAGTTATTGTTCAAAGCTATTTAGCTTTTCTCATATCTTAGTATAGACGTGAGAGAATTCAGACAGGAGCATTAGAAATTGGCCAGATAGGAAAAAGTAAGTCCTGATAATGCCTTATCTAAATAAAAGCATGGAAGTATAGGCTTCCAGTGGTGACACAAATGTGAAATGTGAGATTTAGAGGCAAAAGCATATAACTCTCCATGAAAGTAGAGCCAGAGGGATGCTTAGGTTTATTCACAGTTGTTCTCAATGCAGCCCTATGGACAGAAAGTTAAGGTGAACTCCAGAGGAGATGGAGGTTTGCCATACAACTACAATAGAAACTATCTTCACAGTCTCAGGTTTAACTTCAAACTTCACACAATACATTTTGTTTCATATTATTTATTTATATAACTGTTTTTCCAAAGTTCTTATAAAACTGATGCTCAAAACAAAAACACAAATGTATGCTCTTATTACTTAAAAAGTATTAGCTGACGGGGCACCTGGGTGGCTCAGTTGGTTAAGCCTCCGACTCTGATTTCTGCTCAGGTTATGATCTCAGAGTCAGGAGATAGAGCCCCACAGTGAGGCTCTGCGCTCAGCAGGGAGTCCCTTGAGAGGCTCTCTCTCTCTTCTGCCCCTCCCCCTACTCTCTCTCTCTCTCTTTTTCCCCTCTCTAAAATAATTAAATCTTTTTTTTTTTCAAAAGTATTACCTGATTATGCCATGTTGATCCAAGGGTATGATTTAATCTTTGACACAACACTTTGAAATTTGGTGAGGGGTGGGAGAGGGCAGAAGGGGTGGGCTGTCATTTGAGAATGATGGAGTTCTTTACCTAATAGACATCTTGAGCAAATTGAATCAACTCTTTCCACTGAATGAAGACCAACCACTACTGCTGGAGGGTGTCAGGAAGGGAGTGGTCTTGAGCATGTGGAATGCCACTCTCACTTTCCAGCCTCAGTTAGGGAAGCTTTCAGCCCAGAAAGTTCCTGAGGAATATTTTATGTTCCCTGCCTTTGTTGTGTCATCCCCTGTCTTTTCCCCATATGGAGAAGGGAGGAACTTTTTCAATATATCAAATTCAGTCATTTTAGCAATCCAGGAGGCTGGCACACATTTCAAAGTGCCTTTTCTTTCAGCTTGTTACACTGAGAAGACTGTTGTAATGGAGTCTGAAACACTGCATGAGAGTATGTGCCCTCCAGGGGCCCACTTCTGTCAGTTCTACAAAGCACAAGGAGAAGTGACTCAGCCCACTTCAGGCAGTGAAGATCAGAGTGCAGCTCTGATTTGAAAAATTCCACCCCAAATTTTATTTATATAATTTATTTATATAATACAGCCAGTTTGGATTATTTTAGATAATCCCACAATTTATGGATTGGATTGGCTTAATGGTTTGACCTGACATCTATTACTCAGATACAATTTCTGTAATCATTTCAAGATTTGCCTGTTTTTCTTTTTAATTCTAGTTGATGGCCAAGATTAGTGTGGTAAAAACCATTCTACCTTGTATTCTATCAATTAGTTAGAACTGCAATACAGTGTACACTGATGTAAATTGTAAATTAGACTGATGAACTAAAAATTTTAAGTATTAAATTGCATGTTTGTTCTAAAAATTGGAACAGGAAATCTAACACCCTGTGTTTCTGGTATGGTTAATTTTGTGACCACAGCCCCCAAAAGTGTTTTTTTTCTTTTCTTTTCTTATTTGGAAAGCAAAAAAACACACAAAGTTAGCCTGTCTGGGGGGAAAAAATCCTAAGAAATTTACCCAACTCTACTGGTTTCTGGATAATTCTAGGAATATCATCAAATCTGATCCTCAGATCTCAAGCTTCCAAGAAACTATATAGGTGCATTCAGTAGGAGCATGTTAATAAGAGTCATGAAAGAGGTGTTGGTTATGTGGCACAATGACATTTAAAAACTCATTTATCTCCTGTTTTGTCACAAGGTAAGCCTGTTTCCTCCATTTTTCCATTGATGCTCTTTTGAATTTATTTCTAAACATCTTTTAGAAATTGGAAAATGTATTTGCCAGGTTTATAATTTACTCATTTTCATGGGTTATAAGTTTAAGCCAGAATTATCTTTTCTACATAATATTCTAATTCCAGCACATAGTTGAAAGGAAATTGCTAGACTTACCCATCCCCAGTACTCATGGAATTTTAATACGTTGGATTTTCTCCTCTGTGTTTCTCTTGAGTTCTTGGAAAAAGCAAAGTGAATTTTAATCAGATCACATCATATAGGAGGTATACAAATTTTTCAACATTTTATGCTATTTGGTAGAGTTCATTCTCTTGCATGGTATAATATCTAAAATTACACATTGAGAAGGCATAAACTCAAAACAAAAATCTCTTACTTTGATTTTTAACAGTCACTCCATAAAAGGCAACAATGTACTTTCTGGAATCGGGTGGGGAAAAATATCCCAGTGACAGAAAATTGAAGCTAAGACATTAGATAGCAACCAGATATTGTAGTCTAGATATCCCTTCTCCTGTCTGCCACCCAAATATCCCTAATTGTTTTAGTCAGGATTCTCTGGAAAATGCAGAATATTATACATATATATGGATAGAGAGAGAAAAAAAGAGGTTGCTTGATAATAAGGAAATGGCTCACGTGACCGTGGAGTCCGAGAAGTCCTAAGACCTGTAGTTGGCAAGCTGGAGACCCAAGAAATCCAATGAACCAGAGCTGAAGGGAGAGAAGTGGATGTCCCAGGCCAAGGAGTCAAGCAGAAGAATGAATTCTCCTACTTTGCTTTTTGTTCTAGGGCCTTCAACAGGTTGGATGGGGTCCACTCACATTGGAGAGGGCAATCTTCTTCACTTAGCCTAGGGATTCAGATGTTAATCTCATCCAGAAATACCATCACAGTCAGATCAAGAATAACATTTAACCAAATATCCGGGTACCTCATGGCCCAGTAAAGTTGACATATACAATTAATCACCACACCAGTCAAGTCATGGTTGGATGTTGGTCATCAGATAGCTTATAAACTATCTTGGTATTCAGCTTCAGGAGAGTTCTAATAGGAGATAACTTATGCGTCAAACTGTAGTAACCTGTAATTTCTATTGTCTAGCATACTTTTTGCCTCCCATCCTCTGATTCCTTGGGAAATACTTCCTTCATTCTATATGTTTCTGATGGAATATTAGTTATGCTTCAGTAATGGCCAATCCCATTATTACCTTCCCCAGTGGGGGTTGCCTAGGATTGATATACAGCAGTGGAGAAGAGCACTGCTTTCTTTCTACTGGTTGTCAAACTAGGATGGTGTGAAGTTGTGATTGCAAGTGGTCATCTTCCCTGGCCACATGAAGGAGGCAGTCTATAACAAAAAGTAAAGAGACCATCATGCACAGAGAAGAAGAGACAAACAAATACGAACAGAGGGTAAGAGAGACTATGAAGGAGAAGATTTGAAACTCTAGATCCAATTGTGCCTGAAGACATCATTCCTAAACTTTCTGGTTAAGTGAGCTGATAGTTTTTTGTTATTAAGTTCATTCGGTTGTAACCAAGAGAACCCTGACTAATGCCAACTATGCTCCTATGTTAAATACACACTCTTTTTTATTGATGGTACATACTGAAGAGCATCTGTTATATGGATAGATTGTCCTTGTTGATCAAGTCTATAGTGTTTGTGATGGGTTACTTAGAGCCCTGGACAGAACTAGGATTCTTGACCTTCCAGCTGAACCAGTCCTGGAGAACAGTGGAATGGCAATGTTAGAACCAGATGACCATCCTGAGAGTAAGTCAGTGAGATCATAGAAAGATTAAGTCTGTAACTAACAGTCTGAATTGCAGACATTAAAAAGCCATAAATCAGTGAGTACTACATTCAAACTACAAGAGGAATAATCCACGATCATTCTATACCAAGTAGCAGATCTAGGACACAAAATACTAACTAGATCTCCAGCAAAGCCCATCCCTTCACAGGTAAAAGAACAACACAGATCCTCTACAAAGTGTGATGAAAGCCAAAATGCAAAACATCATCAGGAGCAAACAAATCCTGAGGCTCTGTTAAGATCCTCTGTGAACTTATTCCACTGCCAACCTCTTAGAAATCAGCCAACCTCTGATTTCACAGATATATACTACATGAAGGCTGAGGCTGCAAGTTTGTAAGGAAAACTTTATGATAGGGTGTCGGGTTTGTTTGTTTGTTTTTCATTGTTGTTTTTTTGTTTGTTTGTTTTTTGCTAATTAAGAAAGAAAATAGAGGTTCCAAAAGGCAAAGAATGGCATCTGAGGCCCAGGGATAGGTCATCGCCTCCTGCCCCTACACCACATACCCCGCATCACAGCACAGGGCCTTCCATTATAGCACACCTTTCTCAATGTCTGAATATTACATCGCACTATACAGTGTCGTGCAGATGAGGGATGGGTTCGTCACTACTTGTCAGAAATGTATTAGAACAATAAACCCGAAAAAACTTAGAAATATCTGTATAACAAGGGGAAGGGGACGATTGTATTCTGTCAGTATAAAAACTTAAAAATATGATCAAGATAGAAATTTAAAATAAATAAAAATGAGGAGCCTCCCCTCATGGAGTCACCAACCCCTTATTATAGACTGTGCCCTCTCTCAACCCTTTTCAAGTCATTCCGTATCTTTGTCCAAAAGGTCCCTGTGTAGCCATACTAAGGAAATTAAAGCTTTTCCATCCTTTAGCCAATCCTAGTCAGGATAATATGCTGCTGATCATCAAAGAGATCATCAAAAGTCAGATTCTGGCCCCCAATTTTTTTTTCTGTGACCATATTTTCTTAGATCCTCTGGATCCACAGAATAACTAACCAAAACACTAAGTTTCTCAGCCATATCTTTCAAACAGTACTAGCAAAATGAGCAATAATAATCCCACCCTCTATATTTCATTACAGCCTAACCCCCTGTGTACAGATAGATGCCATGTTAAGCAACTGCCTCATCCCAGCCCCTCTTCATACACAGTGCAGAGCTATGGTATTCATTCATTCCAGGGAGTTCCCCCAGCAAAACTACGGGCTCCCATCACCACGTATAATCTACCAGACTAGGCCTTCAAAGGAATGTTCTTCAGAGATTCACTACAAGTGATTTTAGGAGAGGTTTCTTCTGAAAACAGGAAGGTTTCACTCGAAAAGACTTTGTCTTCCTTTTTGCAAACCTTCTCAGGATTTTCATGTGGAAATAATCCATACAGATTTAATGTTCTCAGCACTTATTCATGCTTGTGGATTTCCTCCCAACTCCCACACACATTTCCCACATCCTGGTTCTCTTGAAAAGCAGAATATTCTAGGTTTGCTCAGTGTGGAGCATAATGGAATAATTGTTTCACAGTTCCCACAAACTCTGCTTTCAGGTGGGTCCTCCAGACTTTACCCCTCAACCACGTAGTGCTTTGTGGTCTCCTGTGGTCCAGCCAGACTCTGAGGTTATTCTTTTCCTTCTCTCATATGGTCCAGGAGCTGGCTCCTGACCCCCACCATGTATGGTTCCTCTTTCTCTCTCTTTTTTTTTTTTTTTTTGTACTGTGTGTGCTGTGTGTTCTGATCATTTGCCAGCTCATCATGCCCGGTTGAATTCTAATTTTCCCCAGAGTGAAAATAATGAACATGGTCTCTCTTTTATCACAGAAGATAAATTATTTTTGTCTTTACATCAAAAGTCTTAAATCAATAGCTACTTCAGAAACCCAACAGGAGTAAAAAGCTAAGCAAAGCAAAACAAAACAAAACAAAGAAACATTGTTACAAATAGAAACGCAAGGGTGAAAGAATTGACCCTCTCCTATTCAAGCAGCTCATCTTTCTCCTTATTTTCCCATATATTTGAATCTAATTTATTTACCCTCAAAACGTGGTAGAGCTTTGCACACTCAGTGGGATTTACTTCTAAGGTATTAAAGTCAATATTAGCAACATTATAAATCCTGTTTTACGGTTTACATATATTATTTAATGTGATATTCAGTACTACTTAAGTAGACCCCAGAGAAATACATTTATTCAACAAAATAGGCATTGGAAGCTCCTGACATGCCAGACGAAGGACAGCAATAACCAACAATTTGGGATGCTCCCTGGAAAGTGGATTATAGGGTGCAAGCAGAATCGTTAGAAAGCTGGTACAGGGGCACCTGGGTGGCTCAGTCCTTAAGCGTCTGCCTTCAGCTCAGGTCATGATCCCAGGGTCCTGGGATCGAGCCCCGCATCGGGCTCCCTGCTCCATGGGAAGCCTGCTTCTCCCTCTCCCACTCCCCCTGCTTGTGTTCCTGCTCTCACTATCTCTCTCTCTGTCAAATAAATAAACAAAATCTTTTTAAAAAAAAAAGTTTATACAAGTTTCTTGTATATCTTTAAAAAAGAAAGCTGGTACAATGTAGGTGTGAAGTGACTGTGGCGTGGACTACAGTGGTATTGGTGGTGGTGGTACAAGAAAAAAGGAGAGGCACCTGGGTGGCTCAGTTGGATAAGCGGCTGCCTTCGGCTCAGGTCCTGGGATCGAGTCCCCCATCAGGCTCTCTGCTCAGCGGGGAGCCTGCTTCTCCCTCTGATTGATGTTAGTGCTCTCACTTCCTGCTTGTGCTCTCTCTCTCTCTCGCACACACACACAAATAAATAAATAAATAAATAAATAAATAAATAAATAAATAAGATATTTAAAAAGAGAGAGAGGAGAGGCAGATTTTAAAGATATTTATGATACAAAATCAATATGTTGAGGGACCTGATTGAAGATCTGGGCAGGATATAATGTCCAAAGTGTAAGGCGTTGAGGAACTCCTAAAGTTTCTGGATGTATTAACTGGATGGGTGAAAGTGCTGTTCATGAGATTTGGAAACAGTGGAGGAGCACATTTAGGGGAAGTAGATCGTCAGTTTGGTTTTAGACAGTTTGAGTTTGGGGTATGCCTAAATTATTCCAAAGGAGATATTGGATAGGCAGTTGGATCTACAGGTCTGGAAACTGGAGGAGTGGTCTGCGCTGGAAACGCAAACATGGCAGTTGTCAATGAGTGGCTGTTAACAGCATGAAAATAATTGTAGTCATCTGGGGTGAAGCTGGAGAATGAAAAGAGTCCCTCAGAAAGTGCTTCCAGGAGGAGAGATGATCAAAAGGGAAGAGGCAGAAGCATCCAGGGAGATTGCAATAAAACAGATAATAAAACAGATGCTATAAATATCAAAGAAAGAATGAAAATGTGGCAGACAATACTGAAAAGTCACATAAGAGCTTTTTATATTTACGGACATGGACTTAAAAGCTGTTTTGTGTGTGTGTGACGTGAGTTTCAGAAAACTAGGAAGGACAGACGAAGAGTGGAATGACTGAAGTAACTATGTGCCAGGCAGCTTCCAAGTGCTTTCCAGGCACAGCTTTATCTAACCCTCTGTTACAGGAACTCTTACCGATGATGACCCTCAAGTTCAGAGAAGTAAGACAACTGGACCTGCCCAAGCTCCTGCGGTTCTGGGAGGCAGCAGAGCAAAAGCTCAACACACCCAAGAGCAAAGATATCAGATTGAATTTTGTTGTTGGGGATTTTTGTAAATTAAAGATGAAATGCTTCTTTTAAAAAGTGAGAGTGGAGGGCGCCTGGGTGGCTCAGTTGGTTAAGCGACTGCCTTCAGCTCAGGTCATGATCCTGGAGTCCCTGGATCGAGTCCCGCATCGGGCTCCCTGCTCGGCAGGGAGCCTGCTTCTGCCTCTGACCCTCCCCCCTCTCATGTGCTCTCTCTCTCTCATTCTCTCTGTCTCAAATAAATAAACAAAATCTTAAAAAAAAAAAAAAAAAACCATTAAAAAAAAAGTGAG